TGACCCCGTGGGCCCTTTACAAAGTTTTTTTTTTTTTTTTTTTTAAGGGAGTGACCTGGATGTTAACAGCAAGGAGGTCAGGAGACACAGGGCCACCACAGGAAAGACTGTTTCTCCAATGACCACCCGTTTAATTTCTGGAGCAGGGGAACCCAAAGATCACATGTGTTATAGTACCTAGAGTGTTGGGAACCGAAGTTCAAACCCCCTCTCTACTGTGGAAGCTCCCTGGACTTGGGCCAGCCCCACATTCTCAGCCTTACCTACCTCACAGGGTTGTTGTGAGGGTAAATAGGAGGAGAGGAGAATGATGGGAGCTGTTTTGGAGTCCCCACTAGAAAGAAAGGCAGGATATAAATGAATAAGGCCACAGAAGATCTGAGTGAATGGGTTGTTCATAGGAGGCTGAATGGGTGCTTCTCGATAGATGTTCTGTTTCTATCTCATAGCCATTCTAGGAAGGCAACCTGAGGAACAGAATGGGGTGCACACGCCGCATCTGAGGCAGGCCTTGACAAATGTTCTTTGGCTCCAAGAACCAGCCGTAAAATTTGGAGTCAGGCTCATTTTTCCGCCCCTGGGGTTTTGTATGTTAAAGACCATATTTTCTAATTATTGCTACCAGAAAACCTAGTCATTCGCTCTTCAGTTTCTGGTAATTTCATCGGAAGCTATGCCAAAACTGTTGTAGTAGATAAATAAATGCAGGGGTAACCTTAGCTGTCATCCCTGCAACAGAAAGCTAACCTCTAACCCTAGCCGAACGTGTCTCTCATTTCATTATTCCTTTAAAAAGTCCATTTCATTGAATATTGGAGCCAGTGTCAGAAGTAGGTAGTTGCGAAATGAACTAATCAGAGATCACCCATAAACGGCGAGCACATAAAATGATAAGCACTATATGTCTATGCATTTTTATGTCATCCAACAAAAAATATTCTGATATGGAATGATAAAGAAGCTTTGTGCTTCTGCTGAGGACTGCTGAGAGACCCTACAGTAGAAATATTGCTGGAAATAGTAGGAGGTGCAATGAAGTTTCTCAGTGCCATGGTGACCTGACGCCTGGGATTCGTTGAGCTCTGATCTTAAGGGCCCTTTATCAATGGAGCTTTTAGCAGCTGCTGATATTTAGCTCCATTTGAGGGCTTGACCATTTTGTGAAATGGGTGTGGGGTTCCAGTCCCTGGAGAGGGACAGGAATGTGTCCTTCAATTTTTCAATACAAGCCTCCTTTTTCTGGCAGCTGTCGGAGCATCCTGGTTCTTCGCACCTGTGGCTAAACTCCTTAATTTCTCTCCGGCTGAGCTGGTACCCTACCTGAAACCCTCTTGCCTTCTCTCCCACCGCAGTACTGCCCTGGAGGAGAGCTCTTCGACTATATTATAGCGAAAGATCGCCTAACCGAAGAAGAAGCCCGTATCTTTTTTCGTCAGATCGTCTCTGCGATGGCATACGTACACAGTCACGGGTACGCTCACAGGGATCTCAAGCCCGTAAGTACGAAAGGGCGGTACTGGGGCTTCCGTAGAAATAAGCCGAGTTTATGCTAGATCTCAGATGGCTGAGTCTGGATTAACCATTCCCTTTCGGCTTTGTCCAACCATTGGGTAATTTGTGTGATGTGTCGGCAGCTTTTGTGCTTTTGCACTTTTTTTTTGCCGTCAAGTTGCAACCAATTTATGGCAGCCCCGTAGGGTCTTCAAGGCAAGAGACATTCAGAGGTGGTTTGCCATTGCCTACCTCTGCATAGCGACCCTGGACTTCCTTGGGAATGCCCCATCCAAATACTAACCAGGGCCGACCTTGCTTAGATTCCGGGATCTGACGAGATCAGGCCATCCTGAGCTATCCAGGTCAGGGCTTTTGCACTAGTGGAGAACAAGTGGTAACGAGCTCCAATTTCTGCAGCCCAACATTGCTAAACTGTAAGTGACAGAGATATTAGAGCGTTTTCTCTTGGAGGAAGGGATAAAATATTGTCTGTAGGCTTCCCAAGGCTGGACAGCTACACGAAACGGAAGGACTCCTTCCCCTTTTATGGTCAGCATCACTGTGCACTTACCAAGGGGACAAGCCCATTGCTGTGCTGGGTTCTGGTCAACTTGGTTGTGTTAACCCACAGTCTCTCTTGGCCAGGAGAACTTGCTGATTGATGCCGAGCACAAACCAAAGTTTAGTGCCCAAAAGCGGCCGTCTCTGAATGGCCTTGCCGTTGGCAATGGGAAGCAGTGAACAGCCTTGCCCTGCTGCAGGTGAGCCGCCCTCTTCCTCCGTTTAGTGTTGAAAGCATGAGAACCCTGTCCGCAACTAATTTGTCAGCCTTCATGCACGTTTTGAGAATCTGAATGTCCTACATGGATTCCATCTGCAAATTGTTATGACATGAAGAAGGTTTTCCTCCCGAAATGTGATTTACACCTAGGATCAATGCTCCCTCTAAATTGTGGAGTCTTGGGTGCAAAGCTTCCACAGCTGTGGAGTCTTGGGTGCAAAACTTCCACTTTGTGAGCTACTGGCATTAAAGTTGTGAGCCAGCGATTTGGCTACTGCATACATTAGTTTGCTCTGGAGCCGTCCTTCCCGAGCCAAGACAAAAATGTGTGAGCCGGAGGCTAAAAAACTGAGCTAGCTCATACTAACTCAGCTTAGAGGGAACACTGCCTAGGATACGCATTTCATCAAGAGAGCCAGTTTGGTGTAGTGGTTAAGTGTGCAGACTAATCTGAGAGAACCGGGTTTGATTCCCCACTCCTTCACTTGCAGCTGCTGGATGACTTTGGGCAAGCCATAGTTCTGTCAGAGCTGTTCTCTCAAGAACAGTTCTGTAAAGAGCTCTCTCATCCCCGCCTACCTCACAGGATGTCTGTTGTGGGGAGGGGAAGGGAAAGGAGTTATGAAGGGCGGGGAATAAATCCAATTTCTTCTTCTTCTTCTTCAAGTTTAAATATACAAGTCAAGTGTTGCAAGATGCACAGACTAAAATAATTTCAAATATTTCTGAATTTTAAAACGTATATTTACTATCCCAATTCTAGAACAATTTACAAATTCATGTCACATTGGATTGGATGTAATTAGTGCACCTATTGAAGTGCCTGTGTGCACCCCCTTTAACTGTGTGTAAATTGATCAGTGCCTGTGAGCACATTTTGCTGGAGTAGTTTGCACTGAAGCATGCACTTTTGTCCATACTTTTATTCCAATGGGATGCTGCTTTTTCTGATCTTC